ATGTATGTATGTATGTATGTATCTGTATATCTGTATTTTAACAACATCTATCAGCACTGCATACTTTCGGATCGACGATTCGAAAAAGTAACCAAGTCCAAATGTATATGTACTGCGCATGACTGGACTACACAGGCAAAGCTCCCTGGTGTGTTATTTATTTACATCTACTAAGCCAAAGAATAAGTTAGGCCTACGTGTTTGCAAAACTGGATAACCTGAAAAAAAAAATAAGTGCATGGCTCGCATGGCTCGCTGACTCGCATGGCTCGCATGACTCGCACATTGGCTCGCATGACTCGCTGGCTCGCACTTTGGCACTACTCCATATCGTGTCGAGAGAGTTGTTCCAGTTTAGTTTTTTCTTGATTGCTTATCGTGGGATACTACTACTACATTTAAAACATATTTTAAGGGGAATTCTTTTGTCGTCTGAGGTTCTCCTTAACATTGTCAAATTTTACCTTTAGGGACAGTATTTTTTATTATGGAACTGTTTTCACCCTCTTCATTGTCTTATGTTCCCCATGGCAACCCTTTCACCAGGATTTTTAAAGAATGGTGAAATTTCAGAAAATGTCCTCAAAATGTTAAGGGTGGTGCACAAAATTCTAAAGGATGGATACAAACAATTGCTATGTTAGTACATAGCAAGTAACACGCTAAGTCTGTTTATTGACCTGGCATTTGCATTAATATTTTTTGAAGCGTGGTTCCAATATTTTAAGCATGGCGTATAATTTGCCTTTTTAATATTTTTATTTAAATTATGTATATTTGTATTTGCATTTAAAGATCCTAGTTAATCGTTTTTCATATTATTCATTTATTTACATATATTCTTGTTATAATAATGATTTACTATAAATATTGTTTAACATTTACGAAAATAAATGTTTAATTATTCAAATCCACTTGCACTTGACAACAACAACTAGGCATCAGTTATTATTTTTAATGGTGCCTACCACATATTTCTTCTTCAATTATATACAGATACTAGATAAAAGCCCCATTGTACAAGTATATTTATTCAGTTTGTTTTCAACGTACTACTATCAAATTGTTTTGAAAGCTTAATGCAGTCACTATAACAATATTCGAATTTCACAAATTTCGACTTCTGGAGGAAATCAAAATCCACCCACTCCTGTGTTGGAACCCATTATTTATAATTTCTTTATTCTTTTTTTTTTCTTTATTTTAGAGATATCTCTATTTAAAACTAAGATATCTCTATTAATAGAGATATCTTAGTTAAAACTAAGATATCTCTATTAAAAACTAAGATATCTCTATTTAAAACTAAGATATCTCTATTTACGATTAAATGACAACTCGGCTCGCCATAAAATTCTGTAGGAGTAGATGATGATATTGGCCAGTCGTTCAAACTAAAGTATCCAGAAGTATTTAAGACTGAGTTGGGTACGGTTAAGGGACACAAAGCTACGTTAAATTTGAAAGAAAATGCGATTCCCAAATTCTGCAAAGCTCGAAGCGTTCCTTTTGCACTTCGCCCGGCAGTTGAGCAAGAATTAAACCGGGTGCAGGAAGAAGGAGTGATTTACCCAGTGAATTTTAGTCAATGGGCGACCCCATTGGTCTGTATTCCAAAGGCCGATGGAAGAGTACACGTTTGTGGAGACCATAAAGTAACAGTAAACCCAAGTTTACATTGTGATCAATATCCAATTCCAATTCCAGAGGAGGTATTTACTAAACTGTGGGGAGGAAAACAATATTCAAAAATTAATTTGAAATGTGCATACCAACAGTTAGTTTTTGAAGACGAGGCACAAGAAGTAGTAACGATAAACACACATCGCGGTCTATACCGATACACGAGATTACCGTTTGGGATTTCTTCGAGTCCAGCCATATGGCAGCGATTCATAGAACAAGTAATAGCAGGACTAGAATGGACATGTGCAATAATGGACGATGTCCTAGTCACTGGCTCATCCGACACAGAGCATATCAGGAATTTAGAGAACTTATTTGAGCGATTCAACAAATATGGTGTCAGAGTTAAGGCAGAAAAATGCACATTTCTGCAAAGAGATGTAGTGTATATGGGACGGAAGCTATCCGCTGCAGGAATTCAACCGACAAGCGATAAGATTAAGGCTATTAAGAGTGCACCAGTTCCATGTAACGCAACAGAATTAGGATCCTGGTTAGGATTAGTTAATTACCATGCATCATTCATTCCACGACTATCAACGATGATACATCCTTTGAATGAGCTGTTGGGAAATAAACCATGGACATGCAACGACGAATGCAGCAACGCATTTAATGCTGTAAAGCAAACTATCAGTGAGGACATCATATTGACACATTACGATCCATCAAAACAGTTGGAACTATACACTGACGCATCTCTATTAATAGAGATATCTTAGTTAAAACTAAGATATCTCTATTAAAAACTAAGATATCTCTATTTAAAACTAAGATATCTCTATTTACGATTAAATGACAACTCGGCTCGCCATAAAATTCTGTAGGAGTAGATGATGATATTGGCCAGTCGTTCAAACTAAAGTATCCAGAAGTATTTAAGACTGAGTTGGGTACGGTTAAGGGACACAAAGCTACGTTAAATTTGAAAGAAAATGCGATTCCCAAATTCTGCAAAGCTCGAAGCGTTCCTTTTGCACTTCGCCCGGCAGTTGAGCAAGAATTAAACCGGATGCAGGAAGAAGGAGTGATTTACCCAGTGAATTTTAGTCAATGGGCGACCCCATTGGTCTGTATACCAAAGGCCGATGGAAGAGTACACGTTTGTGGAGACTATAAAGTAACAGTAAACCCAAGTTTACATTGTGATCAATATCCAATTCCAACTCCAGAGGAGGTATTTACTAAACTGGGGGGAGGAAAACAATATTCAAAAATTGATATGAAATGTGCATACCAACAGTTAGTTTTGGAAGACGAGGCACAAGAGGTAGTAACGATAAACACACATCGCGGTCTATACCGATACACGAGATTACCGTTTGGAATTTCTTCGAGTCCAGCCATATGGCAGCGATTCATAGAACAAGTAATAGCAGGACTAGAAGGGACATGTGCAATAATGGACGATGTCCTAGTCACTGGCTCATCCGACACAGAGCATATCATGAATTTAGAGAACTTATTTGAGCGATTCAACAAATATGGTGTCAGAGTTAAGGCAGAAAAATGCACATTTCTGCAAAGAGATGTAGTGTATATGGGACGGAAGCTGTCACCAATGACGCCATGGATCTGGCCAAATCAACCTTGGAAGCGCATACATATTGACTACGCGCAGAAAGATAAGCGAGATTATCTAGTAGTTGTTGATTCATATTCGAAATGGCCCGAGTTATTTGCATGAGCAGTACGACAAGTGCAGCCACAATCAAAGCGTTGAGGAATTTGTTCGCAAGATATGGATTGCCAATTCAATTAGTAAGTGATAATGGTCCGCAGTTTATTAGCGATGAGTTTGAAGTATTTCTTAAGCGGAACGGTATGAAACATGTTAAGGTTGCACCATACCACGCCGCGAGCAACGGGGCAGCTGAAAGACGGTCCAATCATTTAAGAGATCATTAAGTGCCAGCCAAGCGAATGGTAAAGATTTGCAACAGAATCTGGACAGGTTTCTTCTGTCATATCGCACGACAAAACATGCAACTACAGGTCAAACACCAGCTAAACTGTTTATGAACAGGGAATTAACAACGCGAATGTCGTTATTGCACCCTAGTACAGAACACAGGGTATTAAACAAACAAAGCGATCAGAAACTGCACCATGACCAGACAAAGGTCTTACGAGAGTTTCACGTTGGTGAGAAAGTATTAGTGAAAGATTTTCGACAAGAGGGGAAGTGGTGGTCAGGAACAGTTATACAACGTACAGCACCAAAATCATATATAGTCAGCGTTGATGACGGTAGGGTGTGGAAAAGACATCGATCAGCTAAAAGCGGTGGATGCAGATGCCTACGCTAGGAAAACACCGATGTATCAAAGCGAGTCAAAGTTAGAAAATCTACTCACGACGCAGACGGAAGAAACGACCTTGAGGAAGCGAAACTGAGCCAAGCGACTGAAGAGCGAGTTGGTGACGGTCATACCGAATTGTCTTGACCACCTAGGATAATTCCAAGATGTTCAGAGCGAATTCGGAGGAAGACTACACGTCTTATTGAAACGATGTAGACTTTGTTACAACATGAACAATGTTGTTATGGACGTTGATGTTCTAAAAAGGACTTGTGTTAATGTTATGTTATATACAGATTACATGCAACAATGATAGTAATCACATTTAATAATATGTTGTACTGAATAAGAATGATCTGAAGTGATTGAATTTAATTAATGATGAAAGTTAAAATAATCATTTTATCGCCTACATCCTACATTTTTCATCTAACCGAAAAAACAAACATTTCTTGCACAATTGCATGTCCACCAGCAACTATCGAGCACAATGTATACCTGTCGCTATGCACCGTTTCGGAACCTATTTGTTTACAAATATGCTGACCTCTTTTGGTGTCACATCTCATACACACATTTTACATGTGAACCATTACATTACTTCCATGTGACCTAAGGTCATAAAGGAACTAAAACAGGTATTTTTTTTTTTGGAATTCTTTTATTTCTTCAGAGAGAGAAGACACAGACAGACAAAAAAGCATTATTTTTAATCTGAATCACCAATATTGGCAGGTAATGAATTCAAAAAGTAAGAAATAATAAAGTCTCTCCTTAGCAAATACCGCATGTAACAACATTATTTTTTTTAACTTTTAATTGTATGTTAATAACTTACCGTAATTTCTCGAATAAGTTCGCGGTACTTTTTTGGAGGCTTAAGTACGGTGCTTATTCGAGAGCGACGCTTTAAAAAAAAATATTGGCTTGGAGCTTTCCATGCCTGTTTCCACGTTACTTATCGCACGTATTACCGTAGTTCAGTAGGTCCATCATTAGGCCCTACGTCATTGTAAATAAACGTTTATAAAGAAATACTTTTGTCTTCATTGTGTTATTTATTCATTTTTAACACTGTGCACATTGCATTTAAAAATCTGTTTCTCAAAGTGTTTCATTACACACAGGGTATATACCCTTCAGTAAGTGCCGCGGTGCTTATTTGAGAGCGGCACTTAACAAAAAAAAATCAAGTTTGGTGCGGCACCTATTCGAGAGCGGCGCATATTCGAGCACTTGCGATACTTAAAAATATACACAGATATATTTGTTTTGGTCTTGTCATTTAGAAAATTTTACTATATTGTGTCAATCATTTACATCCTAGGTTCCTTATTTGTCTAATCTTGAGGAGACCCATGAAAGTACACGAAAAATAAAAATCCCATGGTTAAGGGTTAAAGTTGACAAGATTGGTTTATACGAATGCAGTAGTAGGTATATATATCAATGTTTTCAATAAGAATTCAGGAGAGAAAAGTCTGGTTTGATATGAAGCTGGTGTACTTAATAAGTGTCAAAATAAAAGTTGAATGATTTATTTAATTATTTTGAGACGGCTGTAATGTTCTTGATTCAACTAATTCGCAGCAAGATTAACAAACCTATCAATTAATATCAGAACACAAAATAAAATAACACTTTTTGTTGTAAAATAAAATACACAATCCACACATAGGTACTTGGACACGTACACAAATTAATTTAATGATATAGTTGTAAAAAAGATATATAATCATTCTTTTAAACTAATTATATTTTGCTTAATAAGCAAAGTAATTAGTAAAATTAATTATTCAATCTTGAGATTTTAACAAATGATAACTATATGAAAATCTGATTTCATATTGCATTATTCTTATATGCTTAAAAACAATAGCATTTTTATAATGTACTTGTATTTTAATGTTGTGATGGTCATGAATTTATTTTGCTTGAAAATATTAATAATAAATCAGATATTGCAATTATATTTGTATCTTGTTGGATACTGTAATAAAAATATTAAATAAAGGACAAAATTAATTTAATAAAAATTCGCTGTTGATTCAGTCAAAAGATATTGCAGTATTTAAAATTTTATATTTTACATTCATTATTAATAATAATAGTAATTAGCCATTCCAAGAATTGGAAAAATGTCGACCAACTAGAATAAAATTCAGGTAGGTAAACAAAACTTTAGATCCGAAAATTGAAAATGATGTCCACGAGAGAGTAAATATAAATATAAACCATGAAATATCCTTATCTAACCGGAACTATAACCAGATGAAAAGCAAATCAAATCAAATAAAAGTTTATTTTTCCTTTGGAACATAAAACAATTAACAGAAACTTTCTTTTAAGGTAAACAATATTTGGGTGGGGGGTGCGGGGAACTACAAGAAACAAAAGCGATTAAAATGATAAACAAAACATGGGAGAATGTAACAAACAAAGAAGGACCATATAAGCATAACGTATAATGAAATAATAATAATAATGTAATTGTTTTTGAAGTTTTTCCTTTTTATTAATCAAGTTGTCAATTTGTATAAGTATGTCGAGTTCATAAAGTAAATACAACATTTACTTATAGAAATTGGCAACTAAATTAACAAAAAGAAAAATTATATAAATATAAACCATGAAATATCCTTATCTAACCGGAACTATAACCAGATGAAAAGCAAATCAAATCAAATAAAAGTTTATTTTTCCTTTGGAACATAAAACAATTAACAGAAACTTTCTTTTAAGGTAAACAATATTTGGGTGGGGGGTGCGGGGAACTACAAGAAACAAAAGCGATTAAAGTGATAAACAAAACATGGGAGAATGTAACAAACAAAGAAGGACCATATAAGCATAACGTATAATGAAATAATAATAATAATGTAATTGTTTTTGAAGTTTTTCCTTTTTATTAATCCAGTTGTCAATTTGTATAAGTATGTCGAGTTCATAAAGTAAATACAACATTTACTTATAGAAATTGGCAACTAAATTAACAAAAAGAAATATTTAGATATACTTCTTGAATCCAGAATGAATTTATTTCCTCTGAATGTAACTGTTGCTTTACTATAAATATAATTTAAAAAAAATAAAACAAAAAAATACAAAAAAAACAACAACAACTACAACAACAGCAGAAGCAGCAGAAGCAGAAGCAGCAGCAGCAACAACAACAGTAACAGCAGCAACAACAACAACAACAATAATAATAATAATAATAATAATAATAATAAAAGTAGTATTAATAATAACAACAATAATAGTAACGACAATAAAAATAATAATAATTAACAATAACAAGAGGCATAACAATTCCAACAAAAAACATAATAAAGGAAAAAACAAACAGTAACAATAAACGAAAAAAAAATAAAATAAGGTTTAAAAGGATTATATTAGATTACCTATTGTGCAGTTTGTGCCAGTCCATCCTGAGAGACAATCACAGCTGTAGCCGTTAACTCCATCAATGCACGTACCGCCGTTCTGACATGGGCCACTGGCGCAGTCATCTATGTTTGTAAATAACAAACAATATTTAACTTGTTCCTACGAAACCTGTACTATAATATAAGTCACAACTTTACATTTGGAGATAATAAATAATTTAGTTGTCTGGGTCCAAAGTTTGGAGAGGTCATTTCTGGGTTTGGAGTTTGGAGAAGTCATTAGAATGCAATATAATGTTAAAGCTATGTCTACACTATCAATTTTTACACTATAAAATTCTGTCTGTTTAAATAAGGTTCCTTAGCACTTTCAATTGTAATGGACACTGACTCCCGTGATGCAAATAATACGGTTGAAGGAGTGGGGGAGGATTTCCGAAAGACTCGTATCCCACGACTTACAGGAAGACCTGGGACCCCTGGGTTGTCAGATCAAAAAATTATAAAGTATATTTAGATTACATTCTGTTCATATGTACTATCTATCTATCTATCTATCTATCATCTGACACAATTTTCACAGCAGTGAACTGACAACAGTCCGAAAAAAATGATGATGATAATGATGATGATGATGATGATGATTACCGTATGTCTATTATCAACATTTGCCTTTAAATATAACTTTTTCAATTACAAATGTGCTAAATATTTTAAAATGAATGCCTTTACTGGGTTGCCCGTTTCAACGCAGGGATGTAGTTATGGTGTGTGGGGGCCACCGAGCCTTGAATTTGTCCACCTCCACCCACCTTCATTAACCCCCTTGCCCATCCTTAAAATCCACTATTATTAATTAGAGTTTACCAATGTTATCACACTAACCAACCCTTAAAATATCTACCACCCACCCTTTTCTACAGCTAAAACTTTACAACATTGAAAATATTGAATTTATATTTTGTAAGTTAACATAGAAATTTACAGGAATTGATCGTCAATCAATCAAATTAGAATATAATAAAATTAAAGCTATGTCTCCACTATCACATTTTGTGACAAATAAATGTGATATATCCATAATTGGGCAAATATGACATTACCATGCCCACATATAGGCATATAACACAAATTTATTTTAGTTGACAGAGTTTTAGAAATTTAGTTATCTGCAGTACCGTATATTTAACTTACGAATTTCGCAATTACAAACCAGTCAAACCAGCCTGGCAGGTACAGACTCATCAAGTCAAAACATGTTCCGCTATTTTGACACGGACTTGATGCACATCTAAATAACACAAATCAGTATTGGTAGCCAAAAGCTATAACTGCTGTATCGTTTTATGCACTTTTCACTAGAAACGCATTCTAAAGGAATTTAACCGTTTATAAAAATTTTTAACTTAGGCCTACTAATTTCGCAATGTACAAATG